CACCGTTTGACATGAGTTGTTGAATATGTCTAGCCTTGTTCTTTCTGGTCACTTGTTACAAATGACACTGGAACATACTATGGTACACGATTCGTGTACCAATGGTAAAATGTTTATTTTATCTTAAATATTGGATATGAGAAGCCTACTTTTTCCTGGTAAGATCACAACATCAATGTTGATTTGAATTGACAAATAATTCATATTTTTAACTTGTAAGACTTTGGATGATATTGAGTTAGAGACTTAGCTACTTTAAGACACAATGAACATTTTATAATCACTAATGTATTCCATGGTTTCGGGTGCCATTTGTAATGAAGAGAGAAAAACATATCCTACAAGACAATGCGGAAGTATATGTAATGCTTGATTCACAAACAATAAAATAATTTTTAGAAAATGCGTAGAATTGACTAAGCAGGCGTAACCGATTGTCGTTCATTTTGGACTGTTCACGTATATGTATTTCGGCAATTAAAATTGATTAGAAATTACAATATTTTTTTTAAAATAAATTGAATATAAATCACTTTATGAATTTATATACTGGATACGTTCAAATTACCTTAATACATGTCTTTAGACCCATTTTCATCTGTTTTAAGGTTCCAAAGAATAGATCTATATGCTTTTGAATATGAACAATATGAATTAATTTCCCCTTGTTTAGAAATCAGTAGGACGGTAAACAACATTTCATTTCATTTTTTAAAAATAAAATTTATTGCCATGAAAAATGGATTTATCTCCCTTTATGTGATTTCTGGAAAAATAGACAATTTTTTTTTTAAAGCACGTTTCCTTTTATTTCTGTGTATTTAAAGGAGGTAAACACCTATCCTCTGGAACCTAAAATGGACAAAAATGGGTCCAAAAGCCCATTTTATTAGTGTAATATGAGTGTACTAAATCTGATTTATATTTATTTTTTTTATACCTTTTATTGTAATTTCTGATCAGTTTCATCGTCGAGTAGTGCAAATTGAATGACAGTGACTCGCACCACTAAGTACATGATGTAAACTTTAACTTTCTGCACTTTAGCATGTATACTGATAAATGAAATGAAATGGGGTTTAACCTCCTACTGTTCTGCATGAATGAATAATGAATTGATGATTTATTTTTAAAGATACTTTACCATAAAACTATTTATCAGGTGGTTATATCCAATGAAAGTATGGCAATTTTGGTATATAATCTTACTAGAAAAACTACTGGATTCCCTGAGAAACACCCATGGAGTGCATACAGGACAAAAATGTAAGGGTTTCCCTAACCGACAACCCGGCGATTAGGGATGTCTGCTTAAGTGACGTCAAATGTTGCATGCGAATATTGTCTATCTCTCAGCGGTAGTGAGCACTTGATGGATAATATATGTTGATAGACTTGATGGTGAGCTTAAATGTACAACAGTTTCTGGGATAAAAACCATGATAAATGACCTTGGCAGTGGATAATCTGAGAATTTAAATAAGCTTAGATATTTATGAATATAAAAACCAACAGCGCCTTAGAAACTGTTTTCGTCAGTATTAACGCGCTTTATAAATGACGATATTATTATTATTATTATTATAAATAATCAGCAATTAAAGACAATGTTTTGAGAAGGATTTGAAGCAAAATTTTGATAGATTAATTAGTTTGAATATGTTTTTAGTCCAAATATATCATCAAATCACCCAATCTATTTTTAAAAAAATGAAAGCTACTCAAATACATTACTAGTGTCTAAAATGCTTGGGTGAATTGTCAGCTCTCTTCAAAACGGTGAGTTGGATGTATTGTATAGGCTACTTTAAATACATGTAAATCTATTCTGCCCACATTCATTTAAAAGAAACAACAATAACCATTGTTAAACTCTCTCTTTTATAAATGTAGATTGTATCTAAATTCAATTATTTATTCATTGCTGTGGTGGTTTGAATACAAAGACTAAATGGACATGCATGTATTTGTTTTGTTCCCCTATATAAGTCGGTTAAAATTTGAGTCATAGAAAAAATACAATACAACCAAAATAACCGCTTTTAACCAAGTTACAATTTGAGTTATTTTAATTGTTTTAATCACATAGTAGATAGTAAAATAAACTGTTATTTGTACACGTATCTTTATCTTTTCTTTTAAAAATTTCAGTTATTAGTTTAACAAAATTTATGAAAATATGGGATTCTGATATCCAATATTTAAGACATAATAAACAATTTAAAATCAGTACAAGAGTCATGTATTCTGGTTTTGAGCGAAATGTGTAATGAGCATACAAAAACATGTCTCACAAGACAATTCAGAAGTAATTAAATATAGCTGATAAACAAACAACAAAATAATTTTTAAAAAAAATGTCTGTAGAATGAACTAAGTAGGCGCATAGGACTTCGTTCAGATTGGATTGTTCACGTATTTCCCTGAACATGATTGATTAGAAACAACAATAAAAAAAATTAAAATCGAATGAAATCACATTTATATACACACATATTACATTAATATCTGTTTTAGACCAAATTCACCTATTTTAATGTTACAAAGAACAGAGCCATACTCCCTTTTAACCAATTTACTAAAATTAATTCCTTAAAAGTAGGTGTTGTAATAAATTGTATTATATATATTTATATAGAATATGATGATAAAATCTTTCAGGATGATGTTTTTCAATCAATTGCTCTCTCTAGAAAATTTAAAATACCACTTTTCAGGTGATGGGTTGGGTTGGCACAGCTAACAAATCTGTGTTATAGTTTTATGTTATACTTATAGGCTTTGGTAATTGATAATTTATTTTGAGCATAATTAGATTATCTCTCTGACCCATAAAACTTGTTTTTCTTTGAAAGTATTATGCTACTGCTAATGACTAGGAAAAATTAAATTTCTTAATAAGCCCACAATAAATTATTGAAGTTAATTCTTACAAACTATAAAATAATAATTGCTATATTGCATGGTAACCAAAATTAGCTATTATACAACTAATTTTCTTATTTTTCCCCAATCAATGTTCATATATTTAGGGTCTTAACTCTTGAGGGACAATATATTTCAATAATGGGTACAGGTAGGTTATTGTGTATTCATTATTCAGTGAAAAATTGTGTCAGCACTACCGTACTGGCTAATTGTCAATTTTTTAAAAAAATGATTATGTTTTTGAACAAAAATCAAAATGGTTTATATTCATGTCCTTTCTTTAGAAATCTTCAATTCACTAATTTTTAATAATTAAACACAAACCCTATCAAGAGGATTTACTTCTATATTTTAACATTACATACATGTAATAATGACAGCTACATGTACTAGAATCCACTTTTATAAATTTTTTCGAAATTACTAATGTGACTTCACTGACACAACCAGAACTAGCAGTTGAGTAATAGAAACGGTAGAAACATGACTGACAAATTATTTTGATGAACAAATTAACTTATTTACCACCACCCCACCCCCGGGGAAAAAAAAAATTGCCATTTTCAGGCTAGATCACACCAATTTGAAAGATTGGAAAGTATTGAAGACATTTAATTAAGGGTACACGGAGGACTTTAATGTAGGTATCTGTAGTTTTTTTTTAATATATAGCTTCCATCATATCTTTTGCTACAGTATAGAAATAAATAGCTGAACTCATACATGTATTAAGAGTTCTTCAAAATATTTGAATGGTACAACCTAAAAATGAGAATACCGAAATGAAATAGTTTACTAATATGTAATCACTATTCTATATTGAAACTCATGGCATTGTTTGACATTGCTATCATTTGAGTAGAGCTAATAAAATACTATCTTTCTATTGAACATGCAGTGGAAAAGGCAAAGATTTATTATGTACTAGACGTTTAATTCAATTGCAAAGTAAATACATGTTTGTAAGGTACATGAGGACGACACGACGGGAAAATAATAAATAGATTTTAATTTTGAGACTGTAAAAAGGGGAACTAAAATACATGTATTATGTACTAGACATAATTAATTTGCAAAGTAAATACATATATGTAAGGTACATGAGGACGATGCGTCAGGAAAGTAATAATAGATTATTTGTTTTTTGAACTGTAAAAGGAATCAAAAATCTGTAATATTATATCTTAATTGGCATAGCTACAGGTTTTTCAAATACATTATGGTGTCAACAACTTTATCAATAATTGATTTTCAAGACTATCCTATTATATTCAATATAAAACATATGCATGCATGTAAATGCACATCTATAAACAAAGACCATTCCTTTCTGGTAAGGGAGCCACGGTGACTCAGTGAGTAAGACGTTGGCACGCTAATCGGGAGGTCCTGTGTTTGATCCCTGCGCTGGCCGAGAAAGTTCATCAGGATTTTCCGACGTGGTTGCCCCTTGTCAGTGGTGCAGGACGAAGGGCTTGGCAAGGGACAACATATAGTCATTCGGATAGGACAAAAAACTGAGGTGCCATGTAGCCTACACATTGGCGTGCACTTAAGAGAATCCTTGGCAGTTGGCAGTCGATATAAAAGTAGGCCATAGCCTGCTATCTGAACAAAATTTCCCTCATAGCACACTGTATGGCGTATGCCCGTCTTCATGAGCCCAGTCGGAGTCGAATAGTACGATGTTAAACCCCATTTCATTTCTGGTAAGACTGGTGTGGATTGGTCAAACCAAAATATTGTAACCAGATATTACTCGATTTATAATTATAAACACACCAATGAGGTGTTTCATTTGTACTTCATTATCACTTAAAATATAGTCTTAAGGAGTGTATTTCATACAATTAGGTTTTAAATTTAGAATATTTAGTATATTATTGATAAGATACAGGTGGGCTATAGAGCTTGTATTAAGATAAGAATGCATCTTTATTTATGGATGTTAAGATACATTCCTCAATATAACCTCTATACCCTCATCTTATGCTAGCCTAAGTAGCCCACCATCCCTTAAGATACACATGTGGTATACCATATACTATAGTTAAGTAACATACTTTACTTACCTGAAAAAAGTTTCAGGGTCTTCTCAACTTAACAGCATTGCATTTTAACTAAATGTTCTTTAATAATCTTACTTTACTTGTTGCAATTATAAATTCAATATTCACAAAACCAATTTTTTTAGGATTGTAAAAGTTGAAACAGAGTTTATGTGCCGAACCACTTTCTTGTATACAGATATATTAGATGTTTTATCTGACAATCAGTAAGCCTGTAGCATCCCACAGCTTTAATAGTCACATGACCTAGTTCAGCCAACCACATCAGTTGACATACAGTGTTGCTAGTTAAAGCTTCAATTACTTGTGTACAGTGAGTTGCTTTCTGTGTGCATGGACTAAATTCTAAGCCAGATAACTCTCACATTTTTGGATAATTACTTGCAAACGATATACTGGAAGAACCGCCACTTAGCCCGAGCCCTGCTCCTCCTGGAGGGGAGGTGACTCAGGAGGGCTGTGTCAGTAGCCCAGTTAATACTGGTAATTCTAATCATGTTAGTACCAGCAGTAATAGTAATGCCACTTCACCCCGTTCAAGGGCTGTTTATAACTTTATGGCAAGATTTCGAAGAAGAAAAATAACAGGTAATTTAGAGAAATATTTGATTTTACCTACCTTAATATTTGATGAATTTAAATATTGTATGTACATATAACAACTGATCACTTCATATCTATTTACCTATCAGTGATCTAGTTACTATATGGTTGAACTATATTATAGATAATAATCATGTCAAGTCTATTGTTAACTTTATATATAGATATATGGTAATACTTTCGTTTTGTTTAATTGAAAATGGCAGGTATTGATCGGTTTACGAGCTATAGAGATCAAATTGTGACTTGAATTAAATGAATAATTATTTGAGCTGTATACTGAAGTTATTCCCAATGGTGTTAAAGTACTGTACTTAGATCATATATTATGCACGAATCTTGGTCTGCTTTTTGATCAGTTAAGTTATTAATGGAAAACTCTTGTCCCAAGTTAATTTAATGGTGAATTCTTGTCTCATAAAGATAAATTGAAATGGAATGTTGTTTTTATGTCAATGGTCTTCCAATCTCTATACTTATTCAGAAACAGTCTCATTAGTGTGGTAGTTGTATTAACAGTATGTTTTTAACATAAACATTTAAAAGTGTGAGTTAATCTCTACTAGTGACATTTTGTCTATAGTTAGATGAGATAGTTTACGATCAGGTGTATTTGTGTTTAAGTTGCAAGTACTGTCTGTCTGTGGTGTAAGCTTACTCCAAGCAAGCCATAAATTAGAATGTGATCTCTGAAACTGTCACTGGGCTCAAATTTCTACAAGCCTCTTCCATAAGAGATAAATTATGTATTACATGTAAAGTAATGTCATTATTATTTAACCCGTAAACTAAAATCCTTTGTTTCTGTATGTTTACAGCATATAACAAGATAACAACAGAGTAAGAAATTCTTACTCTAACATGAATACTCGTGACTTAAACCCTGTAACACATATTTAGACATATAACAGAGCTATTCTGGGTTTTTTTTATTGACTTAGCAGAAATGCTAACTATTATTTTTTATTTTTTTCACTTTTTCTGGTTCTTGACAATTGTAACATCTTTGTTTGAAGAGAATGAGAAAAAAATGTTTCACATTAACAAGTTATGATCATTGATATATCACCAGTGACAGGTTTTAAAGCTTTGATGATGTTAGTTTTATGATACTGGTAGGTTATATTTTACGAGACTCGCCAGTTTAAAAAACTTTTCTGATCTTATCTGTATTAACTTCAGAAAAAAATCTGTGCAAGTGTTAAATTAGAAAATAAACACTATTTCTGTGGACCATGGACTGATACACCAACGAGAGCTCCAGATCTATCCTATCTCAAAAAAAGAGATTAGACCACCTTCCACATAATCCTGTCCTTTTGTTTCAGACAAAACAAACCAACTATAGGGAGAAAGAGAGAGAGAAATGGGGTTTAACGTCCACTCGACACAAACTAGGTCATTTTGGGACTAACATATGGTTTAATTTTATTTCAATAATTCGCTTGCGCATATAGGGGTCTTTAGCAGTGGAAGGAAACTGGAGGACCCGGAGAAAACCCATGAGGTTGGACAGGCGACCCTACTCCTTGTCACGTACAACCGGGGATTCAAAACCACGCCAGTCGACTCAATGACAGACTTTATGATACAGCGCACGCACACTAACCATTCAGCCATCCAACCCCCCACCAACTATAGGAAAAGTATTGGTGTCAAAAAGCGTATCAATTTGAAATCATATCTTGATGAGCTATGTGATCTTTTGGAGAAGAAATGTAATGGAATCAGTCATGCGTGATGTGGTTATCTATTCTAAATATAACTGATCAACATCTAAAGAGAGAAAACAAATAGTTATAACCGAGTGTCACATGATCAAATGACATTTATGTCAATTACTGTATGCTATTAAAAAAGAAAGTACCCTATGTTCACTCAGATTTGAATTTGTCATCGATTTTCAGTAGCTGGTAAATCAAATAATCCCTGTGTCTCCAAATTAATAACAATCAGATTGGCAATATTGGAGACAAAGCTCAATATGAAATAACTGTCATCTTTTATAAGTTTATTGCACCAGATCTCTGCATATTAGGTTTTGTTTAAAACTGATGTGAACTGACAATACAGACATGTATTCCATGATGTACGCTACTCGTGTTAAGTGTAGGATAATATCTTTAATGTTGTAATGTAAGTCATAAAAATCAAGAGTAGTTGTAAGGATTCCTTAATTTTATGTACATCATACCTGGCATATTTGAATATTACTTGCTCTAGAATTTAAGTGACTTGCAGGCTACATACAAACATTAAAGTCTCTTGATAAACAACTTTAAGTACTTTACTGTGTACTGGTACATCTGTACACACTTGATAATTTAAAAGAGATGGTCTAACTTGATGTCGTCTGGAATGTTTAGCTTAGGTTGTGTGCAAAATTCCATGTATTTCTGTCATTCATTTCTAAGATTCAAATGTTTTATGTGAAAAAAAATCTCATTTAGTTTCTTCATTTAAAGCAGAATGTAGGAATGAAATGAGGTTTAATTATGTCCTACTTTTCTGCACCTGGGCTATTGAAGATGAGCATACACCATACATTGTGCAATGGGGGAAATTTTGCCGGCACAGCAATTTAATTTCAACTGTCAAGGGTTCTTTTACGTGAACGGCAACGTGTACATATGTGACCTTGGTTTTTCATCCCATGCGATCGACCAGACGTTGTCCTTGCCAAGCCCTCTATCCTCTATTACTGACAAGGGGCAACCACACCAGATTGAAACGAGGCATATCTTTTCATGTCTGTTGTATATGGAGACTCCTTAGACATTTTTGTCACATTTCAAACTGTCTCAGTTTCAAACTGCAACATGTTTATTTTTATAAGAGCTTTGAACACGTAAGCTTTATTCAGACATGAAGTAACAAATACATACAATATTTTCATTTGACATATAGGTAACCTTTCTCTTCCAACTTTTATATGACAAACAGGGATAATGCAAATGACTTGTTTATAGAGGCATTATAAACAAACTTGGACCAAAGTTAAAACTATAGCTTTAGTGAATTAGGTTGGCACACCCTCTTCAAAGATAAACTTTTAAAAAAACATGTAGTATACATTCAGATAACAAGCGTTGTTTTATTTTCTCTGAAATCATGTCAGTATGTAAAGTAGGCTTATGTAAATAATGTTAATACATGACCCTGCATTATATTATTATGGCTAATTTACAATATACAGTATAAGCATTGTATATCATCCTGAGGTTACATACTGTATAAAAGATAAGCTAATATAAGTAACCTATGTCTATTCTATGATATAAATATATAAGCTTATATACCATGGTATTTTAATGATATAAGTTATAAACACATACTTTTCCTGTATGCTATTATAATGTGAATATCAAAATATTTATAGTTTGTATTACAGTTAGTATAGATACCCAAGACCGTTGTTAATTAAGCGTTAAATAAAGCGTGTTACAGTTTCTAAAAAAATTAGTTGAACTAGAAAAGTTTTCGATTACTGAATGGTTCAGTTGGTTTGTAACCTCTGTAATCTACGCCACATGTCTTAACTGTCATTCACAGCAACTAAATGTAGATTTCAGTCTGATTAATCAGTTTCTGGTGGTAATAGTCTTTTCTTAATCACTGTCATCTTGTTCTCGCTCTTTACCCTTTTGAATTTTGATTAAGATATGTCCGAGATCACTTCACCAGTAGAATTACATTCCAGAACTGTTTCTGTCCTTTCAGTTGGAATACTATTAAAGAATCTGTCCCATGTTGATACAAGAATGTTTTAACCTACTGATCAAACTCCAGAATGTAAAGAAATAGAATAGCCTATTTCTCTAGTCTATCAAATTTTCAAATGAAAATATTGAGCCATTCAGAAATGATTGTCGTAATTACTTAACGGGGGTACGTACATACATGTAAGGGGATTTACATACATATAACTTGTATAAGAGAATTGTTATTACACTACATGACTTGATAAATACCCCCCTATTCTATCCAGAATCAAATATTGTGTTCATTGAAAACACAGGTTGTCTGAAAACTGACAAATTGTATTTTATGAAAAAGTTTAATGAGCAGAACTAGGATAAAGTTTACTGCATAATTGGGATAGTCTACTCTACATATTAATATTGACAGATGCATTATGTAAGATTTATATAAATAGCTAGCCGTTCAATAGTTCAGGAATAGATAATGAAAAATTAATATATTGAAAATTTCATTAAATGACTTTATTCTGAGGGAAATTAAGAGTGTTTGAAGATGTAGCATATATTGTTTATTATGGTAGCAACGGTACTTGACAACCGAGACTAAGTCTGGATTACTCATTTTATCATTAAATTATTAAAATCTCCTGGGTGAGTTAATTATACGCTTGTCATGTGAATATACGTCTAAATAATAGTTTATATAACATTTGAAGCCAAAATAAATACCTGCAAAAGGCAGATTTAGCTCTTTATCGTTAACATTTATGTTTTGTTTACATATTTTTTCCATTTGGACTATGTGTTGTCCACTTTATAGAAGATGCTCACAATAAAACATCATGAAACCAAAGTAAAAAAATCAATCAAGTTTTCCCGAGGAGTTCAGACTGGGGTCGTGTGATCTATTGGCAGACTAATGATTCAAGAGATTAACAATAATATTCCTCTAAAAAGCAGTGACTTGAAATTATCTATATTTTTGTAGGGTAACATGTATGTGAACTATTTTAATGATAGATTGAATTAGTTTGATAGACGAGATGTAGTGGGAAGAGCCTACAGGATATGTCTAGGGTAAAATTTATGTCTGGTCAGAATGGTCAGTGTTCATTGTTAATGTTTATTGTAATCCTATTCACCCGTCAATCATTAGTCTTGTGACATAGTGGGATGTAAAGTCATTATGATCTATTGTCTAGATGACTGGCCTGTAATTGTAGATCCATTATTTACATTCTGATAAATAGTTAATTACCATGGCCAAACTATATTTAGGAACTC